TCACTTAATGACCAGGAGATGCCCAAGAGAATAATCTGTTTTCCTCAAATCATATTTTGCCTCCCATTCAGGAAACTAATGTCTAATATTTTCTGGGTCTCCTGACAAGAAACTCTCCTCAAAATGTTCAATTTTTCTGTTCTGGGTGTTGTCAATTATCCTTGCAAGCCCAGCTGGGTGCTATCTGTGTAAACTGTCCACCTGATACATCCTACATAAATCCTCATGGTCTGTGCTACTCTATCTTACTCCAGGTCTCAGGACTGATGTCAGGAATTATGTGTGTCCTTGGGAAAACTATGTATCCCAGTCCTGGTCTACTATTCTGCAGCAAACCCTGAATGGCTTAGCACCCAAATGGCCTTGGCAGAGGCTGGGGTTGGGTGGGCCTTCTATTTCACACCTCTGTGCTTACGTAGTGTGTGTCTCAGAAATATCCTGATGGAGGACTCCAAACTCTTCCCTCTGCTGCCACCAGTGACTCTCCCAAAACACAAGTTAGGTTACTGCTTCCTCAAAAACCTTCAGGGGTTCCCCAGTGCCTATGACAAGCAAAGCCTTCATGACTGGGTGCCAGAATACTTACATTCTCCACTCCATCTAGGCCACTCCAAAGACCCCTGGCTATAGCCACACCCAGGCATTTACTGTGGTCTCAGCATGTCCCTATTTCCTCCATCATCCTAATTAGGGAAAACTTGCCTAGATTTACCAGACTTTACATCTCTGTGTGTCAACATCCTCACCTGTAAAATGGGGGCAAGAGTAATACCTACTTATAGAGTTGTAGTTAGGACTCAGTGAGTCACAGGCATCCAGTCTCAGAATGATGCCTGGCATCTGGTAAACCTAGACACATAATATTATTAGTTGAGCATTCTCCTTATGGTATGGAACTAGGTTTAATAAGACCTCCTCCTAAACCAGGCTCAGCCTCCCAAACCAGAGGTAATGACAGCTCTTTCTGTTCTCACAGCCCATGCTAGTGGAACCCCCAACTTGTTCTTACCCAATTCTGTGCTTTTATGTGCTTGTCTTCTCCTCTGTTAAACTATAAGCATTTTGAAGACAGGGATCTAGTCTAATCCATTAGACTGTGCGGAAGTTCTTTAAGGAATCTAAAGTTTAGCACTTGTACATAGTAGGCTCTCGCTGAATATTTGCTGGATGTGAATTAATCTGAGAAAAAGATTAAAAGCAGGCAGTCAAAGTGCACAGACTTTTTGGATTCCATGTGAGGATTCAGTGTGAGAACCCAGGTGTTTACTCCATACCAACTACCCACTGGAGAAATCTCATCACCCCAAAAAGCATGTGTAAATGCAACTATGTGGAGGTGGCTCTGGAATAAACTGTATGTGATTGTAACCAGGGATCCTGAATGGAGATTTCAGGAATCCACGAATTTACTTCAACTGTGGTCAAAAGGGGATCCAATGTACTTTTTATTTTTTCCTAGAGAGACTTCCTAGAGAGTTTTCATTGAAGATTCATAGGGTTGGTAAGGCCCCCAAATTAAGACCTCTTGACTTAGCTATTCAGAGACAAAGTTTGTGCCCCTCTAGGGCTTTACAAATGAGGAAAGATGTAGCTATCCTTACAAGGCACCACCCCACTAAGTAGGGAGAATTGGGCAACAGGTGCTTCATGATTTTAGGGAAGGCTCCTTCAATAATTCCATGTTAAGAGACCAGCAAGGAAGGGAAATAATAGGCAGAGGGAGCCGGGGACTTGGAAGCCTCCACGGCTCACTCCTCCTCGGCGGGTGTGGAGCCAAAATTTATCCATCATTACACGTGTGTCCTCGACCTACGGCCCAGACACTCGCCATTCAGCTCTGTCTGGACGTGAGGGTTGTTTTCTGTCGAGGTGACTCAAAAACGTACTACCTCAGGATTCAGACATACAAAACAAGGCTGTTCACCTAATGATCATGCAGAGTTAAGCGGCACTTAAACACTAGGGTAAACCTGATACCAGAACAAAGGGGAGGAAAAGACCATTAGTGCAGAGTCCCCGTTGCATCTCCTGCTGGCAGATGATTTGGAAGGAGCCTTCACGCAGGAGCCTGTTTTATTTGCAGAAGCCACAGTGGTAAATTAAAGCCCATCCTAGCCCGTTCCAGGCTCTCCAGTTCCTCTTGGAGCTATTCCTATCGCTGCCCATAGGCCACTAAAACCTGCCCACATTCAGAATGATTGATTCTGCTCAAACTGCAAGCCACAAACTCATGTTGAAAAATCCACTTCAAATCAGTCATTAGCTTCCTTTATGGATTTTTCAGGTCATGAGGAATAGGACCTGAAAGTCCCATTTACTGGAGAGTAGAAAGCAGGTGTCGGAAGAGGAGGGGGCAACTGGAAAAGCCACAGGGAGCTGGGGGAGCCCTTGTTTTCTACCAATCAACAAAGGGGATTTAGCAAAAATTTACCCATGACTTCATTGCCAGTGCCAGATATTCAAATGCAAACCAAAGGGCCCTGGGGTCTTTCTGTACACTGGAAGTCAAGGGAAACGGAGAGAGGGCTCAGCAGGGGCCCATCTTTGCTCCCAGGTCAGATGGAGGATATGGAGCACATGGGACATAGAAAGACATGGTAAGGGAGGAGTGTCTAAGACTTTCTCACTTGTCATGGGATGGTCCATTCCAGCTGGGCTATGAGGGAGACCATGGTGGGCTGGTGGGATAAGGCATCCCAGCGACAGGAACTGAGGCCTTAGCAGCAGCCCAAAGGCAACCAACACAAGAAGCCCGAGTTCTGCAGCTTGGCAAGTTTCCGCTCACCACCTGACCCACGTTTAGCAATTCTGATGTACCATGAAGCAGACAGCTCCTTCCCAGGATGACTGCCTCCCTCAGCCCCTCTCCGGCAAGGAATGAAAGCAAGATCCACTTTGAAAATTCTCCCCCATCATGCAAACTGACATAGGCATGCTTTTCAAAAACCCACAGCCAATCTGTTGATCATTACTTATTTACAAAGGCCTTCGGGCAGAAAGTCCTGTAAAAACCATACTTGATACGATATACACTAGCTTTTTCTGCTTGTGGAAAAAAAGTCCCCCCAAGGCTACCTCAAACCATCACTTTCTATTGCACATAAAATGTAGCGTGTAACACTAAAGTATTTAATATATATGGTATAATATATCTACAGGAAAGGCATTTGTGTAGAAGTATGTTACCCTGGATTTGGTAATTTGATGTTTTGCTGAAGGCTACGACTTAAAAAAGCCTCCACCTCATACAGAAGACCTGTCATCTTAGTACCCAAGAGCCAACAGAATAAAGAAGTAGCCTTAAGCAGCAAAACTTTGACACAGCTTTGAAGCATATGAAAACAGTATAACTCCTCAGAATTATTATTACTCAAGATCAAAGAAATGAGCCATACTTTACATAGCAAACAGGGACAGGGAATTTGGCTCCAACGGTTTCAGATTTTTCAGACTTCTCTTTATTTATTTATTTGCTTCTCTAAATTTAGGCAAAGGAAAGTGGCTGGGCTTTTCTCCACTTTAAATCGGAATAACTATTAGAATTAGATAAGGCGATTACCTAAAGGTGAGTAAATAGGAAATGAATGCTAGCATGACAACTGGCGTCATAAAAACGAAAAGCTCGGCAGTTGGCACATTTTATTCCTCCTCATAAACTGTAAACAAGCATGTAAATCAGCAACACCCAAGGAAGGCTGGGTGAATGGGAAGGCAGAGAACTTTTAAGGAAACATTTAACAGGAATAGACGGGGATATGGAAAAGGAGTTGGGTGGAGTGGGTCTTCCACAGAGAACCTGTGTCCTCAACCATATGAAGAAAGACTGCCCTTGCCTATTTTCCAGAAAAGTAGACGTGGAGGGCCAGGGACATGCAAATGTTACTGAAGATGGGGAATGGAAATCACCACTATTGTATTTCAAAAATCAAAGCCAGTTGTCATGACAAGAGAAAAGTAATGTCAAGATGGCAGGCATTTCCAGAGCAGCAACCACATAGGGTGAGCAGTGCAAATCTGAAATCACTCCTATTTCATTTGGGTGGTAGAGAGTCAGGATGTCAGAGGAAAAAAATGCTGGGATTGGCAGATGAATTGAAGACAAAAAGGGGAGATAAAAGATGGAGAGGCCAAGAAGAGGAAACTGTAGAATGCTGTTGAAATTTGACTTCACTTGCTATTTACCAGAGGAAGCCATAGTCAAGAAAGAAGTGAGGGAGAAAGAGAGAGAAGGAAGAAGAAGGGAGGGAGGGAGGGGGGAAGAAGTGAAGGAGGGAGGGGAGAAGGAGGAAGGGAGGGAGCGGAGGAAGGGAGGGAGTGAAGGAAGGAAGGAAGGAAGGAAGGAAGGAAGGAAGGAAGGAAGGAAGGAAGGGACCATGTACATGCATGCTCTATTTCATAATTAATATTGCTTTTAGCCTGAGCAGAACTGTATTACTTTTGAACTTTGCTTTGGCAAGTCCACAGATTATTAGACTTTTTTTTATCAGTCAAAATCAATTAACAGAAATTTGATTTCAATCGACAGGATAAAAGGAAGGTAATCTTCAGGTTCATTTTTGATTGTGATGATACATCTCACATATGGCCTTAAGTACAGAAAACAGTCCTCGGAGGGACTCCAGCAGAAAGAGACTGCCGCAGGCAAACTAACCACACGAGTTCCTCTGATTGGTTACCGCCGTCATTAGTGCCACTGCTGTTTAGGAACTACACACAGACAGGACATGGTGACAGCTAAGACTTTAAAGCCTATGTATTTTTCAAACAGCTTTTCAAACTGTTTTTCATGACAGAATTTTTTCAGCTCTATCATTAACTGCTGACAAGCTGACAGAATAAATACTCCAGCCTTTAAGAAGCCATCTAACGATCTCGCTCCCCTCCCCCACCCTGGGCTTGCTGGGGAGGGGAGACTCTGGGCCTGGCAGGGTGAGGAGGGGACTAGGGGAGGAAGAGAAGGGCTAAGAGGGAAACCGTGGGCAACCAGCCCCTCTCCTTACCTCATCAGCTTAGGCGAGGAGTTGGGTGAGTTCCGCATGCCTCCATTCCGTTGCTTTTTTTTTGGTGATAGCGTTGACGGCTGCTCATCTTCAACTGGAAATACAGGCAGCTCATGAGATTATGAACAGTTTGAGGGCAGACTGTGAAATACAGGCAAAATATCAAAGGACACACACTCAAGGCTCAGTCACTCACTAGGAATTCATGGCTGTCTTTTAGGACCCAATGACAAAGACCAAATGTGTTAGTCAAACAGGCTGGCTTAGAGAAGGTGAAGGCATCACCTCTTTACACTCCAGCCTTTGAACATGCACTTTAAACAGACTGAAATAGTTTGTAAACACCCTGCCGTAAGAAAAAGAAAAAAGAAAAAAGAAATCATGATTTATCTGTATACCAAAAAAAAAAAAATTATGAACAATCATTATTCCTAGAGTTAATTTTGGTTACTTTGCTTTGCCCAGTAATCGAGTGCATTTTTTTGTAACCAAAATCAGAAATAAAGTTGTATTTGAAATGTCGGCATAACTGCCAGCCTGCTGCTTTTCCAGATGAACCAACTTAGCTGGTTCCTAATCCCTGCATGCCAGAGAAAGAGCATTGAAAAGAGGCAAGGATTCAAGGTCTTGACAGCCAATGTTTCAATCACGTCGGGGCACATTGGCGCATGCTGGCTCAAGAATCCCAAGCCCAACTCAGCTTTTATCCCTCCAACTGCCAGGAGGGAGGGCTTGTGGGGCTGTGCCAATGGGGTCCTTTCTTAACCCATGAAGACAGGAGCACCGGGACTGGTGAGGTTGGAGGAGAGCCCCAGAATGAAGGAGGAGGTTGCCATTGAATGAAATCTCTGATGATGAGGCAGCGGGGCAGGGATGGAGGGCAGCACAGGGGATTGGAAACCAAAAGCTGTTTTCCAAATATCTCAACCACACAGATCGCTAAGCAATGTGAAGCTTCACTTAGAAACACCACAGCACACTCTACTGCTCTTGCCCAAAGACACCCACTAATAAGCTTTGCAGATGTATTAGCCTGCATCATGCTTCTTTTTAAGAGAACTGCTTGATAATTAGCAGATGCAAACCCAGCCTGTCACCCAAGGGCATCAGCGGCAAAATTCTAGTCCTCCTCTCCCCACCCCCACAATTCAGGCTAAAGCTGTAATGTCAAGAAGGAAAAATAGTATCTTCAGATTCTTATAGTTGACTGCAACACAGACTAGGAGGAAAGTACCCCTGAAACTCAGAATGCACGGCAGTTACCTTAAAGCTAAGAAGAGAAATATTAGCAGTGATGACATCAAAAGAAGCTTTGATATATGTTAATGGTGTAGGAGTCTTAGATGGGGGAGAAAGTGCCATGTCAGCTACTTGGTATTATTCAGGAAGACCCATATTAGAGCATGCATTATATGGTACTTCCCTGAAAATGCTAAGTAAATTTAGTAGGTTATGATACATGGTTCCAAGGCAATTTTAATAATCCAACTACCCTCCAAACCTGCTTCAAAGTATTACACATTTTACACTCTCCTATTCTGCTGTCAGTTTGGGCTTGTCTAAATCCTGGCTGATGCAGAAAAAGGGAATGACTCTGGTGTAAGGTGAGAGTGAGACCAGAAGAAATGAAGGCAAGAAAGCACCTGCAAACACCCACAGCCCACCCCCGGTACCAGCTGCTTCCTCTGACACCCACCAGGGCCCATGCTCAGGCTGCGACCATATCAGTCATTTAGAGCTCCAGGCAGAGACTATGTGGCTGGGATAATATCGCATCTTATCAGAAATGAGTATCCAAAGCAAATCACACAGAGACTAAACAGCACTTAAAAGATTAAAGGAAATAAATACAAGCCACATAAATGGTATTGAAAAAAATCACTTAGAGTTGATATGCATCTCTCGGCAAGCAAACAGGCACTCTGAGCTTGACCTGAATTAATCTTCCTTTCACAGGATAGGGGACCAGGCATCCGAGGCAATAATGCGGTAGAAAGGCAGTGAGGGTGTATGTGTGTGTGTGTGTGTGTGTGTGTGTGTGTGTGTGTGTGTGAGTGTGTATAAGTATACTTTCGCACTTTCCCCATCTTAGAATGAAGTAGAAAGTCTTGCACTGACTAGACCTATAAGACAAGGTCATCTTTTAATATGGGCCGCTTGCAATTGGTATATTGTGTTCAGGGTGACCTAGATTGGTTGCGTAGCATGCTGGAGCAAATAACATGTGTGTGTTTGTGTGCGTGCATGTGAGTCACTCTAGTCAGGGTGCAAGTTCTGTTTTTCTCATCTTAAGGTTATAGTTCAGTTGGCCTTCTTAAGGTTGTAATCCCACATCCAAAGGTCTTTTATCTAACCTAGTCTACCACGGCTAGAGTTTTTCAAGGTCACCAGATGTTACCACGGTTGTGTCCAGTTACACAATGAATCTAGATGAGTTAAGACCTGAACAGAAGTCATCCTCCCTAGCATGCCTGTGGGATTCTTTTGCTTAGCATTTGCTTCCCTGTTTGCATTGGGCCTATAACAAATAATTCTCTTTGGTTAAGTGGCCATTATCTTTACATCTTGTTGCTAGCTGTTGGCCCACACTGATCTTCAGATGGAAGAGTTGCAAGTTAATAACCTGTTAGCCAGCTCCAGGGAGACACCTCATTCTGGTAGTAAAGTTGTGCCTCTTCTACGCAAAGAAACTATTTATTTTCATTGCAACTCAGAAAGATCATCTATCATAATCATACTGCATTTAAAGTGGGATTTGTTCTCCTAAATGAAACTTGGGTTTAAAGGTTTCCTCCTGCACTCACAGCCTTGGAAATGCAGATCTGTTCCCTGAAGAGATGGGGGAAAACGTCTCCAGCTTAAATATATGAACGCTGTGTAATGGAGACCATTACATATGGCTTAGGTCCCTCAAGAGAAGCAGTGATAACTTCTTTCTCATAAGTAGGGTATAACCATATTTAATTATTAGCCTTTATATGGATCCTATCAATTTCTGCATATTTAAAGAAAGCAGATCTAGGAAAACTTTTAGTTAAGCTATAAAATATAATTTTCATTTCATGGCTTCTGTGACTACATGAGAGGAATAAAAATGGAATTAAAAGGGAGGCTTAAATTTACTCACTTTCACGAAAGACAAATGTGTTGAAGTAATGGGCCACTACCTCATGACGATGCACATTTACAAGCTCTTATTTAACTTACATTTCGGCTAATTACAATACACCTCCATCTCTGGCATTTTCACTTACCTTCATGCTGCGGAAGCCACATGAAGATATGATCCTTTAAAGAAACCTGACTTCTTTAGAACACAAACAAGTTCAGGAATCTAACATGGAATTTTTATAGGAGCTGAACTCCATCCAGTCTCCAAGTACTCATAAAATTCAAGGGCTTGTTTTTGCACATCCCTAAGTATAACACTTAATGTGCTGTTGTAACTTCCCAGCGCTCCCTTGTCTAATAGGCACTGAATCTAACAGTTTTACAGTTTGGGAAGACTCGGTGCTAGGAAAATGTCAGGCAAGTCTAATGAGGCTTCAGATCCCCTGGTTTGCGCTAGAGTTTAATTTAAAGTTACAATGATGTTTTAACATGTTTGCTTATACTTGACTAAAGAGGATTCGTTATTTCAATGACATAACCTCCAGACAATGTTCTGGGAATTGATTTAAGATGTGGTGGTAATTCCAACAGCCTTAATGCAGAGTTGAACATCTGTAACAACATTTTACTCGACTTTTCATCAGCATTCTGTTTTCAAGCAAAAGCAAGCAACGTCTTCCAGAAACACTGGCCAGAACTCTGGGCTTACTTCAAAATGATTACATATTTCACTAGATTTCTTTAAAAAGAAATATCTTCCTTTATCAGCCTTGCCAGATTGCAAACACTGTGTCAGGGTTTACCAAGCCTCTTTATGGTCCTTGGAGTGAAATGGGGCAATGATTGCAACTCCCAGCCTTCCCTAATTCAGTCTAATGCCTGCATAGAACGGACCTGATGCTCAGCTCTAGCCTGGGGCACATTCCCTCTGCCCTGTTTCCCCAGGGAGATTTACGGGGATGATGCCCTTTAAGATTTAAAGGTGAGTTTGTTGGCTGGAGTTACAAAACCAGTTCAAAGCAAATAAGCTCGGAAACGTAATAAAAGGCAAACAACTCATAAACATGAGTCAACCGCTATCTCCATTATGTTATTAATCACCACATCTGGAGAAACCCACATCTGTACACACTTAGCAGGTCATTAGTAATGTCATATTCACACTGGAGTCACTCAGAGTAAGAGTCATGCAAAGTGGTTTGAACACAAAGGCATCTAGCTAACAGGGCTTCCGACTAAAGTCTTGCGCAAGCTGCCAGTTTGGGGGTGAGGTTGTTTTAATTATTATTAATTTTTTTTTACGGTTTTCCCTTTTGGTATTTTGCTGCCCAGCAAGCTAAGTGCAAGCTAAAATTCACAGTAGTGCATCGCTCTTCTTCAACTGAGCTCAGCATGGTAAAGTAGAACGTTGAGGGATGCAGGGCAGTTATTAAAAATGGGGATGGGTCACAGTCCTCCTTCACCTCGCTCGGTCACAAGCCGAGAATTGGGAGTTTCCTTCTTGAACTCAAATGGGTCTTTGAAATAGCGTGATCTAGCTGCAACCTTGACTGCCAAACAATAAGGAGAAAAGAAAACGGAAATTAATCCTTAGTGAAATGTTTTTTAGAAAAGTTCCAAACCAATTTTAACATTGAATAGCTTTGAATCAAACTGGAAGTTTCTCCCTCACAGCTGAATTGCCTTTTTTTCCCCCTTTCTTTTACCCTGATGACTTCCTGCAATTCCTTTGCTGTTTTATTGTCATCCATGTCAGGAGGGATAATACTTCTGGAAATTCAGAAGACAATCTTCTTAGTATAACTTCCAAAAATATACAGACTTCCCCGTCACCCCACAACATGCACAGACACCGAACACTCAGTTTAGCAGCAAGATCAGACCCATTCTCTCCTGAAGTCTGCTAAAAGAAATTCTACTGAAAAATCAGTCCTTGGTGATAAACTTTTGCTGTCTGTCTCAAACTGCTGGCTTGATCAGTCC